AAAAGTGTCTTGAATTATTCCACGATGATGATTCAATCGTAATCACTCATCCTTGCTAAATAGTATAAATGATAAATTGGTGACCCTGGAAAATGTCTTGATTTTAGTTCCAGGTTTTGTTCTGCACATGTTCAGGAAGCAATGACTAAGGTTATGAGCAAAAAAAAAATAGAACAGAAAGATAAATGAACCTACATTATGACATTATCACGTGAATACAGTAACTTTTCTGCTGTTTTTTAATATTAAATACAACAAATCTTTATATAAAATATAAATATAAAAACTCAACATTATCAGGTCAAAGGCAATGAGCAAATACACAGGAAAGACATCTAATGAATAGGTCTAGTTAACACCCAAAATCTAAATTATTTTACCAGATTTCATTAGATTACAACAACGCAGTTAATTTTTAAGTGTCAGATCAGGTAGAAAAAGCTCCTTATCCCTTCAACAGGCCTCTCAACCAGTAGAGCACACTTTAAGTCATGATATGTTCCTGTGGCTCAGTGGTAGAGCATTGTGTTAGCAGCGCAAAAGGTCATGGGTTCGATTCCCAGGGAACACACATACTGCTAAAAATGTGTATAGCCTGAATGCACTGTAAGTCGCTTTGGATAAAAGCGTCTGCTAAATGCATGAAGTAAAATTATATCATGTTGTACTGAACTCAACCTGATTAAAGCAACTCTACCATCTGTATGTTAAATTAAGCACGAAACATATTAGTTATCACTGCAGTTTTCAACAATATACAAATTTCAAGATGGTTTTAACATGAAATCACTCATATCATGTGTGACCATTTTCACAAATCTTTCTCGGGCAATTATATTTTTATGCAATATAACTTCAAAGAGCTTGTTTTGATTTTTGTCTGGTTGTGCCAATTAACAACTACACATTGTGCTCTTACATTCAGAAGAAGATTACTGCTTTTCTTCAAGCAATTTCTCTGGCAAAGCAAGAAGAATTTGATTTAAGCATTCATTACATAAAAGGCAACAGACCTAAGGACATTATTCTCAATAAAGGGAGAAGCCCCAATCATAAGATGTTGAGGAACAGAGAGAGAAGCTAGAAGGTTTCCATTTGTAAAAATCTCAAGAGTTTATCCAGGGCTCCATTTATTATTTATAGATGCTTTTTTCCCCACATCTTTATAACTGACTGTAAGATTTTCCCACAGTTCGGATGCACACATGACTCAATCATCTGAAGAACTTTTTGACAGTGCTCAACAATTTAGACATCACAAAAGCAGACTTCCATTAGTTACCGGAGACTTTGATATTAGCATCTTGGTGCGGTGCATATTGAATTATGCGATGGCGTCGCATCAATCAGAGAGCAGGACGCACATTCATCAGACTGAGCAAAGTAATGAAGCCCTAAATCTCCCTGCGGGTTTGTTGTGGCGCTGTTCATCTTGCAGCGTTTTAATTGATTTCGGACTTGCTTGTCAGTAAAGGTGATATGCGTCACTGCATGGGGACAGCTGATGGAGCCAGTGTTTGTGCTGTGTTATACAGGAGTGTAAAGCAAAGGCATGAAGACTTTGTGAAATATTTCAAATTCATACGAAATGTTAGTAGTCATTGGCTATATAGCCTATTATATACTATAAGGCCTTACACAAAGGAACTGAAGAGACATTTATAATTTTGCATATTTGATAAGTATAGTATATTTGTATAGTATAGCACAGGAAGTACAGTATATCCATGGGTTTCCTCAGGAATTTCCTATGGGTTTTCAGAATACCGGTTTTGATTTATGAGTAAACAGTTAACATTACTTAAAGAGACATAAATGACACAAATTCATAATTTCAGTGAATTTTGAAAATTTATTTCTTTATTTTTCTTTATTTTTCTTGTATATTATTGTTGTCAGCATCAACATCTTTTTTCATGGCAAAATCAAAGTATTTTTAAACAAACATTAAACAAATAGGCTTCTTACAACATTGCAGTGACAACTAGGCTATATAAGATCTTTTAATTTGATATTTGCTAAAAATCCTAAAAGTTATAAAAGCTTGTTGTGTGATTTAAAAACATAAAGAACACAATGATTGTCCAATTTGTTAAGTACATAAATTAACATCCTTTGTGGCCATTGTAGCTTTTGTTTAACAACTTACATTTTTAAAAACACAGTGGCTCCATAATTCATATTTAAGGAATGACTGCATGGAAAAAATGTGTAGAAACAATTTTCACTCAGAAATTGCTAGTAATTTTCAAAATTAATTATAAAGGAAAAGCAAGTAACACAAGTAAACAAAGTAGAAAGACTGGAATATACAAATAAACAATCCTATATTCTTTGTTTTATTTACAAAAAAATAAATAAATAATTTTTTTACACTATTTAAGCTAAAACACAAAACATGAAAGTCTCTTCAAATAATGTTAACCACAGACTTTTTTACAGATATATACAGTATATATATATATATATATATATATATAAACTAATTGCTTTTTTCCTCTTTTGTAAGTCACTTTGGATAAAAGCATCTGCTAAACACATAAATGTAAATGTAAACATTTCCGACAGGAAATTCCCAGCCCAAATTAAGCCAGTGCTGCCTTAACAGCAGCTGCCATCCTCATACGTTAAACTGAGTTCGACTCAATAATAGCATGCCACCTACTTACACAGTAAATGTGAGTGTTAAGTAAGGTACTAAAACTCAGTGAAAAGCTTCCCTTCACGGGTCACATCTCAGCATAATGGGATCTCACACGCATGCTTCATTTTAACATAAAAGTCAATCTCCCACTCAAAATACTACAAAGCTTTGCTACACACAAACACACACTGTCAATGTATGTATGGATGTATGGATGGATGGATGGATACTGATATTCAGTGATATACCAATGTATCTAATTATTTTGACCAGAAATACGTGTATTGACACAACAGTTTAAAAAAAAAAGGACAGAGGATCAGATTGAACCCGGTCAAAACATTAAGAGTGTGTAAGAGCGACAGTCAGATTCCAGAGAGAACAACAGAGACAGAGACAGAAACGGTAGGCTAAGGGACTCTTCTCTCACTCACTGAGTCTCAGCCCAGCTCTTTGTCTGCGTCTGTCACATTGAACTGTTTTCTTTGGTCTGCTCTGACTCGTTCTCCCATGAGACTGGATGGTTCATTGGTCTTGCTCCTTTGTGCTAGCCTCAGAGCATCACTCTGCTCCTGCCGCTTGTCAATACTGTGATCAATGCGAGCGAGCAGCCAAGTCCAGTGACTGGCGTGTCTCCTTGCAACGTGTTTGGTGCCCTGTTAATCAGGTGATGTTTACGAATTGCTCGTGCATTATGAATCTCATCTGCAGTAAGTAAAGTAAACAAATAAAAAAAGAAAAAGGTATTCACTGGAGGAAATGGAAAACATTTTCCACAATAGACAACCTTTCTCGTTGCACGTTCTGCAGTTTTGTACAAAATAAATAGTGGGGGGAAAAAATCAATTTTCAAGAATTGCTGCATATATATATGACAAAAACAAAAAAAAATGTGGTTTACACTTTACTTGAAGGGGTGTGCATAAGACTGACATGACACCTTCATAATCATGACATGACACATGTCATGAATATGAAGGTTTTTTATGCATGTTTATGACAACTGTCATTAAGTGTCATTCGCTCAGTTATGTAATTTTTAATGCAAAGATGAGATTGTTTGAGATGTCTTTGTTATGGGCTATGGTTAGGGTTAGGGTTAGGTTAGGGTTAGGTCAAATAATGTCATATTTGCATTAAAAATGACATAACTGAGCGAATGACACTTAATGACAGTTGTCATAAACATGCATAAAACCTCCTTCATATTCATGACATGTGTCATGTCATGATTATGAAGGTGTCATGTCATGATTATGCACACCCCTTCAAGTAAAGTGTTACCAAAAATGTATAATGATAATACTACTACTAATAATAACACATTTTACAGTGTAAAAAAAAATCTAAATACAAGTTAAGTTCGCCAATATATATATTTTTTTTTTTCAAACAAATAACTGCACACTAACCTTGTAACGTTTCCAAAAAGGACCAGCAAATATATAATAATACTCTACTATATAGGTTTGTGATGTGTGCTACTGTTCGTTATCATACAATCATCCCCCTATACTGGAATAGAGTAATAAAAAAAAAGTTCAAAAGACAGCGAAGAACACAGTGCCTGTTATTCCTGTCGTACTTAAGAACAGCAAGAGATGTGAAGTCAGTGTCGGAGCTCAAGTAACTACAGCTGACACTAAAGCAGCACAGCATCCATCAGATGCGCTTTCAGGCACCGCAGCGCAGGTATTGTCTTGCTCTGGCAGCCAGATTAACTTCCTTATCGATGCGATCTACACAAATGCATCTCGAGATAAACAAGAAACAACTCGGCGCTCTTCTTGCGCAATCAAGTGTTTGATGACTAGAGGTAAGTCTCGAGACTTACACGCTAACATTAAAAAGCAATAATTGGCCTACATATTTCCCAAAGGCAACTGATTCTGATTCTATGGGAATCACGCTAAAACTGATTATTGGCTACAATAGAATAAAACGGAGTTAAAGCAATATAAGCCAGCGTGCATTAGGGATATAAGGCAATAAAGTGTGTTCCGATACGGAACGTGATACATAATTACTTTGCTCCCAGTTTAGCCCGAGATTATGATAGAAGTCTTGCTAGACATAAAGAAGCATCCACTTCTCGCGCGAAGCTCCTCAAGAATGTAGCACAGTGTAGTCCGTGCTTTATTCTCGGGGTTGTGCCTAGGACAACATTAAAACACAAATAAGACATCAGCGCAAAGAAGAAACGCATTCCACCTGCTGGGTGGCCAAAGTGCTCTAGCACTGAATGTGATATAGGCTACGGCCAAGCCATTGAGTGAAGTAGTTCAGCACCAGCACAAAGGACAGCTCCACTGCACCAAGATAGAGATCGCACTTCAACCCTCACTGAACGACTCACCTCCGAGAGAGCAGAGCAAGGTGTAAACAAGCAACAGGATCTCCAGACGGCCCATCCCCGACCTAAGCCCTTCCAGCCACCACATCGTGATAAACTGACTGTTTACGCCCCGACGGCACGGACGCGATTTTTATATCGCTACGCTTGTCCACATTTTCAGCTCTTGCAACGGACCAGCTGTTCGCGCATGACGTAATAGCGAAGAGACTATTCCGAGAAAGCCCCGCCCCTTCTCTGCTGTGATTGGAGGTTCGCCACACATCCATTCAATTGATTGGCGGACGAGAACGTCAGTCAAAGGGACTGGCGTCTCGCTCTGTCCTGGTAGGAGACATGAGTGGTTTGTCCGACAAATGAACAGCATTTCAAGTTTACTTCCTCAATAACCAAGTTACAGCGATGGTGTTCCATGCCTTTAATGTCTAAGAAACGTTTTTTTTTATAAGTGGAATTTAAAACAACAACTACTTGATGAGGAGGAATGCGCTGAACGTAATGATTTCTCTTTTTTCCACTTGAATTGTAACTATAGCGTTTTTTTATTTTTTATTACTTCGTAGGTAAACAGAAAGGAAATACTGTTTTTGTAGTAATGAAATATGGTTTGCTTTGAGATAATATTCATTAGATTTCGTGTCACACATTCGTGTTGACGACGAAGGCCAATACTGCCATCTATTGGCCGCTGACTGACACTAAACTTTCATCTACGAATATAATGCCCTCTGAAGCAGTAAAAACACTGGTTTACTTTACTTTACTTTACATTTTACAGTGTACTATATATGTTCCTAATTTATTCTATGAGACGGTTCAGTAAAAAAAAAAAAACTTTAGGAAACAACCAAAAATTGTACGCTGGTGTTTCTAGTTGGTTGACCAGCAAGCATGGTACAAAACTACATTTCGTCAGGCAAACGCTTTGTAAAACTTCAACTGTATGACAGCTTTTCAGGTGTTCACAACAAAGTTTACAACAATATCTAAAACCCTAGGCTGAAAATGTGATCTTGGGTAGGAGTAAAGAGCGAACGTTAACTGAAGTTGAGCTAGGCTGAATTCTTTGGTAAAACCACTTAGTAAATGCACATGTTGAACATGTTCTTAATACAATTGTTTCCGCAGAAAATGTGAATTATTACTGAATAAATTATTTAAATGATAACCCTACCATGCATGCCGATGGCTGTATATTATAGCCACAAACACCTCAAACGGTGCTAGTCAGGTGAGCTGAAGCTCAAATGAAGACACGTCTTTCAATCCCAGCCTGCACTTCTCGTTTTTACCGCTAGATGTCCTACCGCTCCTACTCCATCACTGCCAGGCACACGATTGTACTCCATTCTATGTAGTAATGGACTGAAATTAATAAACATTTTTTAAACTTCGTGGATTTTTGCGGGCATTTTTTTCCATTCTTGCATTCGTTAATTATTTTTATTTTTTGGTAGTGTATTATAATTACCACAGGGTATTCATCATGTTCCAAAATAGTAAAGGATTACAAAAAAAAAGCGTTTACTTATACTTAAAATACTTTTTTTCTAAACTCTTAACACAGCAACACATCACACAATTAGCCAAAAAGTTAATTTTCCGTCCAAAACCACCTTTTGTTACATAAATACAAACTCTACATTTCAAAATGTTGAATACCTTTTTCTACATACTAACTCTATCAAAACGCAGCAAACCCGATTCAAAATAATTCGGTCAAAACATTAGCACTACTTTTCTATCCAATAGGCATATATAGTCAATCATAGCACAGTGACTGTCAAAATACAAACAGTTGATGGCTTTACAAAAACTCAATTACTTGTCATGTTTCAGTTCTACCTGCATATAGACAATATAAAAATCCATTGTTTTTGTAATCTAGTTACCTTTAACTGAAACCCATTTTACATTTTTAAGTGTTGAATGTGTTCATTCTTGGCAACATACTGTCTAAAACGGAATGAATCATTACTGTATAGAATGTACAATAGAAAAAACAGGGTCCCCATGCAGAAATTCAGTTGGAACCTTGATTGAAATTGCAGTCCAGTGGGTGGGGGTTGGATGTGGACGGTGCCCCCATGGTAGCTGATGCCAGTCATCAACAAAAATTCCAACATACATGGCCTTTGGTTACTATGCAAGCTTGTTTCCGTCACAGAATAAAAAAGTAAAAACGGTAATTGTGACCTTTTTATCTCACAATTTGGACTTCTATTCTTGGAATTGCGAGTTTCCATCTTGCAATTCAGACTTTATCAGAATTGTGAGATAAATTCTCAATTGCAAGAAAAAAAGGCAGAATTGTGAGATTTAAACAAGTCACAATTACCCTTTACCCTTTATATTCCATGGCAGAAATAAGCTTTCTTAGGTTCCACATGTGTAAGGGGGAAAAAAAACAAACATAAAAAATGCATAATCCAGTTTACTCCTCTCCCCTACCTCTTCTTCTCCCTTTTCTTGGTCCAACTACTCCTCTCCTTCCTACAACTATTCCTCTCCCTCTCCCAGGCATTATTTTTTCTCTCTCTGATTCTTTGTGTTGTTCTGGATCCACAAAACCAATTCAAAGAGGTTTGTTTTTTTTACTCTATGTTGATGTAATGGAAAGAGCATCAACACCTGACTCACCAGACTATTCCTCCAACTGAGACTGGAATCAGCTATTTCTAAATGTTTCAGTGATCTGTTACTTAAAAATGCTTATCAGTTGTTACAATATTTTATATAGAGAGATTTTTTTTCAATACTTTTGAGCTGCTGTTGTTGCAGAAGTATAGAGGCTTTACACTATATTTTAAATTTTGGAACATTAGGTCTTCATTTCTGTCATGCTGTGTTTAAAGGGGTCATATGATGCTGCTAAAAAGAACATTATAGGTAGGTGTGGCTGACTCTGAACTTTTATAAAGAATATCTCTTTGTATTTGAGACTTTAGTCTTTGCAACTTTACAGATCTTCTTTATGCACCAAGAGTTTGTAACACTCCAAAGAAAAAGGAAAAATTGAAATCGCATCATATGACCCCTTTAGCATTTGTAAAAAGATAAGAAAGATCCATGATGTTGGTATGGGCATGTGTGAAAAGAAAATTTAAGCATTTTAGAAACGTGTTAATTGACTGAATATTGTGTGAAAACAACATGAATTGTGTTAATGGTATGGTCACAACAGACCGATGTTGTGCTAATTGTGTGTAGAGTTTTGAAAATGTGACCACAGATAGGACAAAGGGATGTCAGCAATTGGTTAAAAAAAAAACTGTAAACTAACGCATTGTTCAAAAACTTTGTATCAGTTTTGGAAGAGCTATTGAATTGCATTTTCTAAACTGTTTACTTTGCCACCTAAATAATATCTCTTTCTGTGTTGCCTTTGGAGTGTTTTAATAGTGAAAGAATGTATTTGTTGATAATGCATTTTATAATGAATAATTTTTCTGTGTGTCAAACACCATCACTGTTTTTGACCAGTTTTAATAGTTCCCAGATGCCTCTCTGTAGGCCCGAGGACTCATCATGCTGTTTTACTTTGGCCAGCTCCAGCTGCTTGAAGCTCACATGCTCACAGTTACTGCTGTCAGACCTGCATGAATTCAGCCTGTGGAATGGAGGTCAGTAGGGAAACTCTTAAGTGTGTGTGTGTGTGTGTGTGTGTGTGTGTGTGTGTTGTTTAAGTGGGTTTGTGGAAGACCACCCACATTATCCGCATGCTTATTCAGCACTTGTGGTATTTCTAGTCTTGTCCTCTACTGCTCAGACTAGATAAACCAATGAATGTAAACTGTAACAGATATACCTGTAACAGATGTAATTGGTCAGAAGTGACAATAAAGACATTTATAATGTTACATTATTAGATTTCTATTTTTTAAATGTTGTTATTTTGAAATTTCTATTCATCAAAGAATCCTGAAAAAATGTATCACTGTTTACACAAAAGCAGTGCCACTGTTTTCAACATTTATAATAATAAGACATGTTTCTTGAGCAGCAAATCAGCATATTACAATGATTTCTGAAGGATCATGATACACTGAAGACTGGAATAATGACTGCTGAAAATTCAGCTTTACCATCACAGGAATAAATTGCATTTTATAACTGTATAATATGTTATATAGAAAACAGTTATTGTAAATAAATAACATTTTTAAGATATATTTTTAACATATAAATGCAGCCTTGGTTAACATAAGAGATTTTTAAAATGTACTCTTTATTTATTTATTTTTAAATTGTGAGATTACATTTAAAATAACAAATAACAAAAGTCACAAAGTCAATGTGAAATAAAGTCACATTTGTAAGATCCAAAGTCAAATTGTGAGACAATGTCACATTTTGAAAAAAATTATGCAATTAGGAGAAATAAAGTTGCAGTTGTGAGAAATGTCACAATTATCTTTTTATTTCTTTTACTCTGAAGTGGAAACTACACACAGGATAGGTACTGTATTTATACACGTTCAGCATGTTCAAGATGATGTTTTAGACTTCTGCCCCCACCTATGTATACTCCATTTCAAGTCCATACTCAAAGAGGAATTCCAGTCAAATCTGCTAATTGAGAAACTAGTACCAATGCTCTATTCTCAGTGCAGTCAAAACAACAATGTTTAACAGGGATTACACTGTCTGGTATGTTAATGCAGCATCTACTCTAACTGTACAGGCATATGTTTGAAGCGGGAGGTTTTAGGGGCGATATCCTTTATTGTAAGGTCATGCTGTTCTTAAGTTCTGTGGTTTTGTCAAAGGGGCAGTAAAATAAACCTGAGTTGTGTCAGGAGACCATAACAGATGTATCCTGAAGAAAATTGTACATTCCAACTCAGTTTAACCGAGTCACTACAAAAATGCAGATTTTTCTTTCAAGAATAAGGGAATGAGTGGGAAAAGAGCTGATTAGACAAAAAAGATGGTTCCATTTCATCAGCGGTCAGTAGCTTTCAGGAACTCATGTGCATGTGATTTCATGTCCTTTAGACATACATCCTTGTTTCCCAAAAGTGACAATACAATAAAATTTTAAATAAATTTTAATAAAATGATTCAGTCCACACTGTTTTAGAAAAACTCCTAAATATCTTGTATAACTTTTTCAATTCAACCCTGAAATGACCAGATTCATCATACTCTGGGATACTTCAA